TTATATTTATATTTATATTTATATTTATATTTATATTTATATTTATATTTATATTTATATCCTGCCACAATCTTAAAGGACTCTCTGTAGTTCACAAGATATACAGTAATAATTAAAACATCTACTGTTAGTTTAAAATGATAAATTTATAAAATATAAACTCCCAAATGTGGCGTAAATAAGCCAGCAACCAGCAGTTTATAAAACCTCTCCCAAGATAGCCTCACATCCCAGTTGCCCTCCGGAAGACCTCTGTCTTCAGCTCATTCTGGAAGGCAGTTAGAAAGCTAGACTAATTGTCATTGGGAGGCCATTTCTACAAGGAGGCCATGCCAAGTGCTGGTGCTGCTGCAGAAAAGCAGCTCCTCTGTCTGAGCCGTGGCTCCTTTCACCTCCCCAAGTGGGGAACTACCCGGAGCTTTTTCCAACAAGATCGAAATGATCATGCCAATTATGGTCAGAGAATCTGATGCCAAGCCATAAAGCCAGTTGTTATAGGTGCTGTTGTTAGTGCAAACAAACAATGAACATATATTAAGGAATATATTAGTGATTTTTATTTCTGATGTGAAGATACTATATGTTGGGGATGCTTAGAAAGCTTGGTTTATGTTTGGAGAGATTCAGTGGAGCTGCAATATTCTCAGACAGAAAGCTGTCAGAAGGCTTTATAATAATAGGACTTTTTCCAAAAGGATGGCTTTTCAACATAAAAATTATAAATTAAAATGGCATCTGGCACCTCAAATCTTAATTCTTAACATTTCCTAACATCTTTACTATATAGCTCAAAGCAATTAATAAAATAGCCCAGTGTGTATTTCATAGTCAATACTCTTCTGTTTAACCTGCAAAGCTAGAATCTTTGTGGTACACTGGATAATGAGGTCAAAAGAGATAATGTCATCAGTATGGCTTTTCATTTCTAATGTTATTATTAAAGCATCAAGGGTATCCCTTTGTTCTTTAAAAAAAATAATTAATATCATTCATGTCAAATGAAATGAGTTCAAAGGTCTAGATTTACATAATTTAATTATAAATGAAGTAAGGTATTAAAAATTAATACAATTAGAGTCTTCCTTTTGTTAATGTTCCATGCATCTTAATTGCATCTTTCCAGTTGTTGACAGTTCCCACTATTCTGTTGACAATTTACACAGTATTATAAGCAAGTATGTATAAGTAAAGGTAGATAAAACTTCAGATATAAAATGGCACAGTTCAGCATTTTAATTTTTAAAAAAGTTTTGAACTTTTGTGACAATAAGTTGGATTCATTTTAAGTTTGTTGGTTCTCACTAAAATTAGTGAGACTAATTCAAGCCATTACTAACTTGCTCCTTTGATGTCAAGTCATTTAATTTGGCTCTCACCCATAACAATGGCTGGAGAGAGCCAGTTTGGTATTGTGGTTAAAGTGAATGATGGCTGGGTGACTTTGGGCAAGTCACTCTCTCTCAGCTCAGTCCACCTCATAGGGTTGTTGTTGTGGGCAAAATAGGAAGCAGGAGTATGAGGTATGTTCGCTGCCTTGAGTTGAGAGAGAGAGAGAGAGAGAGAAATGGTGGGATAAAAATCTATTTGTGGTTTATTCAATAAATTGTGACAATGGGTTAGTGTCCTGTGTGAATCTTACCAGTATGTACTTAAATCCAGCAAAATATATAATATCCAGAGTGATAAAATGACTGAATTAATAAATTATAGTGGGATCCCAAAACCTTGTTGAGATCATGGAGGTTGCAATCTCACATACACACTTATACTGGAGTGAGGCTTATGATATGATATGATACGATACGATACAATATTACAATATGATACATGTCTTTACTTTTTTGTTGATAGGGCAGAGAGGTTGGGCTTTTGTTAGGGAATTGCTGGCTTTTTCAGTTGGAAACTCCCATTCCATATAACAGTTTGTATTATATGGAACAACTTTTAAAACTTTCTGTTTCAAAGTTGTTTGCTGTATAGTCTGAAGAATCTTCGGGAGGGGGGATCTTTTTGTGAATTTCCTTTAACATATAACATAAGCTTCTCAGATCATTGAATTCTCTTTCCAGCTTATCATCACTAACTGTCCTCTTTCCTCCAACATTTATTTCAATTTTACTATTTCTTCTCATCTTTAGACAGAAAAAGGTACACCTCCAAACTCTGAGGGCCATATCTGAAGTGCAGAAAATGACACCACGTGAACGGATGCGATTGCGGAAATTAAATTTAGCTGATCAAACAGCGCAGAAGCTGAAGTAAGCAAACTCTTGTGTTAGTCATCAATATCTACAATTCTACAAAAGCACTTGTCATCAGAAAGTGATGATTTGTTCTACTCAGCCATTATACTTCCCTCTCCTAAATCATATACAGTACCTGCTTTACTTTCTAGTTCTGGAAAAGGAACAGAATGGAGAAGTAACAAATGTCATTTATTGTTCTAGTCCTTTGTGTCCCTCTGATACTGATGTAATTAGTGGAATGACTATTTGCTATTTTCAGAACACTTTAATTCACCATTGTTACCACTGGTTTGGACAGCTATGGCTATATCATGCCTTTGTTCTGTGCTGGTCAGTACCAAAGTTTTCTGATTTGGTAGTATAGATATCTCAAAACCCTAAAAAGGGTACATATACCATAGGGCAAAAATAACAATTTGTAAAAAGTAACATGTATATAATTTCTGTCCATTTAGGATTAAAGCCGCCTTCATTAGAATTACAGGTAGGTCACGATTAGTGTGAGTTTGAATAATGCAATATTCAATTTAGGGCCAATTTGAAATTGATACCAGGTCGCATTTAATGTGACCCAAATTCAGTTAATGTGAGGCCAGGGCATGTGCAGTTGAGGCTAGTGCATGCACAGTTGCAGTTGGGGTTTTAGACAAGTTTAAAAAAGAAGAGACTCATTATTACAACAGAGCAAAAATTTGATGTAATTGAACAATATGAACATAGTCATAGCAATGCTAAAATAGGATGAGATACTGGAATGCCTGAATCTACAGCAGAATTGTTTTGTTTTTATTTTGCTTTCTATAACTACTCTGTGACTCTGTTAACCATAAATTTAAATTAAAAGTATATTCGTTTTATCCTTTTCTGTAATATTTCATTGACATACATATAAAATTATGTTTAAAATTTTACATTGCCTATTCCTGTTGAGCTGGAACAATTACCATATTTTCCATAGAAATATCATTTCCAATAGTGTGAATATGAATAATGCGACCATTTCATGGGATTCGTTAACTGCACTAATCAAGACCTACCTGTACTTACTTTAGGTTGGATGTTAAGGACACATTCAGTGATGCTATTAAGATAGGGTGGCCCTGGGCCCTTCAGACTTCATATTTTTATGATGTTAGAGCTTCTTTATTCCCCATCTAGAACTTACTGTTTTCCTCCTCCTTTTCTTGTCTCTTTTTCTCCACCCAATTCCATCCAGATCTTGCTTGCCTCCAGCCTAGTTTTCCTTCTTACTAAATAGCATCAGATTTCCTTCCTTCCTCTCCTCTCTCTCCTCTCCTCTCCTCTCCTCTC